TTCAAGCGTGCATTTTCTCCTTCCAATACATCAATTTTCATTTGTAACTGTTGAATCCGAAGAGCTTGTTGATCAAACAAACTTAAAGGAACATTTTCCGAATTTTCCGAATCATTTAACAATTTTTTTACTTTTTCTTGAAGAGATTTATTACTCATTTCTTCATTTATAGATGCAATGACTGTCATATCACTATCAGAAGGGGATAAAGCATCGTTTGGCGGATTTGGAGAACGTGAAATTACTGATCTTGGTTGTGAAGCTGATTGGGATGCACTGGATATAGCAGATCCGTTAGAGGAGGAGGAATTGCTCCTCGGTCGGTTTTTTGCATAGGGTTGGGATAAAGATAGTGATTTTAGATTATTATTTGAACTTGGACGGGTTAAACCTGAGGTCTTTTTAGTTTCCTGAGACTGATTGCGGAAAGATTGTGGCTCAGTAATAGGTGTAGTGATAATATTTGTGGGTTTAGATCTTTGTTTAAGTTGAGAAGCCGTGACACCAATATACTTGGAGGCACGTGATCCAGGAGTTATACGGGAAGTTGCCAATGCAGCATTCTGCGCATTTTTGGAAATTCTAGGATCCATAAAAGGAATCCCAGATGATTCTTTGTCGCTAGAATTAGTGGAAGTGGATGAAGGGCGTGGTAATTTATGAGTAGATGGGTTAGGTTTAATTGAGGTCGACACTTGCGGTAAACCAGCTGGCTCTTTGTCAACTTTTGAAAGTTTTGAAGGGAGAACAAAAATGCCGGATTTTGGTGCACAAGTAAAATATGATTTACTAAATATCAATGATAATATTGAGTTAAATTTAGTAAAATTGTTTTTGTTAAATAAATTATGCCGAAAGTTTAAAACCTACCCATTGACACTTCCGTCATTTTTGCCTGTCCCGGGAATATCAACTTCTACTCCGGCCCAGGTACCAGGTTTGATATCTATGGGTCCCAAAAATCTTAATGTACCAATTATGTTCATTGATTCGGCGATAACTCGATCTCCAACTGAGAATTGTGAAAGTGAAGGTGAAGCAGGACGTGGTGAAGTAGAAACAGATTGTAAACGTGGATGGACAGGTAATATATTTGTGGATGGTGATCCAGTAGTTGAATGTTGGTTTTGTATCGAAAATGATCGTTGAGATGAAATAGATGATTGATGCACTGAATTATTTAGAGAGTATTTTGAAGGCAAAGCTTGTGGTTGAGTCGTAGAAATTGGTAAATCTGTAGGCATCTCATCCAGTGGTGGTAATAAAGGTTGTCGAGTCACCTTAGATATACTTGGTCTCCTAGCACCAGGCTTCCTCAGTGAGTTATTTGACTGGTTGCTTGAATTAGGTATAGTACTAGAAGGGAATGACAGGTCACTTTGAGTGCTAGGGGCCGAGGTAGAACTACTATTAAATTCGTTCGCTTTAGTAGCGGCTCCTGGGTTGTACTTTTCCATAGCCTCTTGCAGTAAAGCTTCTTGCTCTGGAGTGAGCCCCTTTAAGCCAGTCGTTGACTTTTGTGCGGTGCCAGTAGATGAGCGTCGTCGGCCAGCTGGGGAAGGAAGTGCTGAAACCGGTACACTACTCCCTGATGGGAATTTTGGTAATTTAGACATTGTATAACGAAATATTTAACGATGTAGTTTGTGTTAGTAGAGTGCTATGAAGCAAGTATTTTATTTGAATCTCTACTCGTTCGGGATCTAGGGAAGGATTGTTATTTAGTATTGTTAATAGCCAATTTATTTATATACAGTGTAACAAATCATAAAACTCTAAACCTGTGCACTATTATGGAAAACCTGTAGGATATCGCCATGTTTGAAAGGAACAAGAATGAGTCCCTTACTGACTTGTTGTTTTACGTCATATTAACAAATAAGCTTGTTTGTAATATCGATAATACGTGATAACCATGCTCATCACTTGCATAATTTGCCCCTCGAATTCCTCAAATTTATAATGAAATCATCACGTGCCAAAATTCGAACTTGGGTGTCTTACCGAAGTCGTTTTAGACAAAACGGTAAAACTCAAGACAAATACAAGTCGCTCATTATAGTGAACATTTGATATAAGTATAGTGATGAATAATTTATATAAAACCTCGATATATTGAATTTATTGACATAACGAACAGCCCGATGACTTCTATAACAAGAGTGACTTGTAATTCTTTTTTCTTCGGTGTGAATCATAACTTTTCTAAAGGCCCTCTTGCCTCTTGTCAAAAAAAAAAAAAAACTTAACTACAATTAGACATGATACACGTACGCCAGAAAAGTTGTTATTTAACAAGCACGCAGAGTTTATCAATCGAATTTCTTGAGTTTAATACATTATAATTTTAATAATTTACAACGCATATGCATACTATTGCACATGTGGATAAGGAATCGGAATCACATTTAGCAAGGAAAACATTGATCTTGCTAATCTTTTTTGACCTTCTCTTATAATGGTAATAACTTTTCCACTACGACCCATCCTTCCAGTACGTCCAGACATATGCAAATATTCAGTCGATGAAGATGGCATACCCAAAATAAATACGTGCGATACAGAAGAGATATCAATACCCCGGGCAGTATATTCAGGAGCGACGAATATTGTCCCTGATGTTGATTCTGACGGATTGTTCCATGGGGAACTCTTGATTTCTTTGTTTATAAACGAAGTTGCTAATTCCTTTGCAGTTACGCCAAACTGTTTAAGACGTTCGATCACCACTGGTACATTGATTTTATTATTCACAAAGATCAAGCCACTTTGCACATTTTCAAGCTCAATTGCGCCAGCAACACTATCCAGCATCCGGTCATCATCATCATCGAAATCCTGTGTTCGTTCCTCAAAACTTTTAACATTGCATTTATTATGCCCATCCGAAAAATCAGCTGATGTTATATTCTTGATTTCTTTTGATGAAACCAAAAGACAATAATGTTCGATCGTCGGTGGTGATAAGGTTCCTTGTGTCATATCAACAAATATTGGATCTTCGGAGTACTCATTATCTTTAAAATAAAATCGTAATGCGCGATTTAGAGTAGCCGAAGACACCACAAGTTGAGGCCTAGCCTGCTCGAAAATTTTTCGAGTTAACAATTCTGCCGGCTTTGGATGAATCAGTCTGTTTCGAATCCTCTTTAACGGTGCATGTTTAGTGGGAAGTCTTAATAGATGATCTGCTTCGTCTAACACAAGAGTCCTTAGGTTGGAAAAAGTTAATAAACCTTCTGCGGTAAGGTCACTGAGTCTTGTTGCAGTGCCTACTAATATATGTGGAGGAGTGTTGTTCAAATCATCCAATTGCCTGATCTCATCCTGCTGAGAGGTCTTTGCAACGACCTGAATAATTGATTTCAAGGGCAAACCGGAATCAATTAATAGCATATGTATCCAATTTTCAATTTGAAATCCTAACTCGCGACTGGGAACGACTAATATACTAGTTACGCAGGGTTTTTTCATAGTGGGATGGTTCACAAATACTTGTTTTCTAGACTGATTGAGTAATGCTAAAACTATACCAAACGTTTTTCCAGACCCCGTAATGTCCCTAACTAGAATATCTTTTCCAGCCAGAATAGCTGGTATTAATGCTTTCTGACATTGTGTTGGTATCGTTATATTAAAATTTTTATCCAACACTTTGCATATAGGATCTCGAATTCCTATGCCCTAACACAAAATAAATTATAAATATTAAGAAATATAAACAATAAATAAATGAAGCAAGAATATAAATACTGCAAAAGTATCTGAAGTATAGTTGTTTGGCGAAACTTTTCCTGCGTAGTGACGAAAGAAGGAACCTAAAAGTGGTGAAAGACGAACGACGAAACTCTGACGAAACCCCAAATCCCCCATAGGACATTCGTATGATTGGCTGGTGTAAATCAAATGCCCGGGTAGCTTATTTATCGTTATCAGTCACATGTAGGCCTCCGGGTAGGCCCACAAGGTCAAGCCCTAGGGTAAGAAGGGTAAGGGCGAGACATTGAGCCCTTACACAAGCGGGTAGTTGTGCGTCTGGTCTAGTTCCTAAAAAGTCCGGTCTAGGACTAGTTAAACTAATTCACCAATTAGAGTATCTGTCATTGATCATTTTATTTATGTGAGATCTACATAAAAAGTCCGGTCCGAACCAGTTCCCCGTGGACCAATCAAAACAGCGAATATGCGCAATTTTTTAAAGTCATAAAACACTGCAGGTTTACAATGGAGGTTATCTTATACTAAAATTTTGCAAGGAATTTTTTTTACTATTGCGCTAGTGTTGTTAGTCGATCGACTAATAGTCGACTAATGAGCCATCGGCTAAGTCGTCGGCTTAGTCGACTAAGTCATTAAGGGGCAAATTCTGCTTTGCTTTTTTCGATACAGATCCTGTGTAAACAATAATCAACTTATCCAATGAAACTCTTAAAAAAGGACAATAGATGAACT